ATATCTTTTGAATCCTTGAGCTGCCATTGATATCTAGATACTGACGCAGAAGCAATAAAGAGTTCATGAGGGGATGGAGAGAGTCTCAGGATACGCAGAAAGAAAGCAAGGCATAGCCACGCTGGCTCATATGTGGACCCAGGCAAGACCTACAGAAGAACCACCCAGCTGAGCCCAATCCATGCTGCAGAACTGTTAGAAATGAAATGATGGTTGCTTTACGCTATTACACAGCACTGGGGCAAAGGCATCTTTGAAGCAGGTAAAGTAGAGAAGGTAAAAGAGGATCCAACCAGAGCCTCAAACACACTGCGGCAGCTCCAAGGCCCAGTCTTTGTCAAAGGACTGGTGGAGCCAAGGGACCGGAGAGAAAAAGCCAGCCTGACATCTGCATCCTGGTCACTCCGCTCCAAAGAGCCGGGCGAATACAGCAGCACCCACGGCATCAGCTAACACCTGCCAGGCGTACACTACCACACAAGGTGCTTGCAAGTCCGTCATGTGCTCTTACAGCAGGACCAAGAACATGAGCACAAAACCTCCGTTCAGGGCGAGTACCAGGAGTGGCTAAGGCCATTCTGAACCCACAACATCGGGGCTGGCTCAAATGTTATCGCTCACAATGACAAACGCCCCCATGCCTCCATTTCCGCATCTACCAGTGAAGAAGACAGTGCCTCCCCCCACAGGACTGTCCTCAAAACTGAGTTTTGCATTCGAAGCAGAGAAGGCGTCTGACGGCTGAGAGCCAGCTAGGTAGTTGCTTGCTGTCAACTACATCAGTGCCTGCTCCACCATGTACTGAGTTTTTGCTTTAAAGATTTCAAGACACAGAAAATGTTGAAGTTAGTAAAGGTCATTTTAAAACCTGTCTCCCATATTCTTCTGTGTTACTCTTCTCATAAGTCAACTTTTAAAAAAAATATATTTCTAATAAAGTTAAAGACAATTTGTCAAATCACTGTGTGAGTTGGGCCAAAGAAGTGACCAGTGGAATGTGTACAAGCGGCTGACACAGACCTTCACACCCACATCCACCTCAGGTGACACAGAGAATAAAGGTCGTGCTGCCTGCCAGTGACTGCAAACAGGTCCCTTAACCTGCCCTCAGTGGGAAAAGCTGTATGCCACCATCCTGTCCCACCATTTCTGCCCCCCAAAGGTGAGGTAAATTAAGCAAACATGAAAAGCCCTTGGGGCTCCTGAGGCATTAGTTAAAGGTTAGTTCACATCTTACATCTATTTATGGAATTTCACATCCCGCAACAATGATCTCTCCCATTTCAGAAGGTTTTCAAATAAACCCCAAACGATCCCTGCCCACAAGGGAAGCCACAGCCAGGGCCTTTTACCAGTGCTAACAAGACCGTTTCCTTTATGAACCTGAGGAGTAGGCATTCTTTTGAACACTCTCAAAAATAGCTCAGTCCATTCAGGAAAATCACCTTTGAACAAGGGAAGAAAGAGCTCCCCATCGCTCCACAACCAAGCGCAATAGGTCACTCTGCACAGCAAAGGCTTGGCATAAAGGGAAAACGGAGGCCTGGGGTTCTGGTTGGGTCTGGCAAAGACTTGCTATTCTGACGTCTGGGGCTTGCTTTGTCCTTCCTGCTCCCGGCTTCCCTCCCGCCTTGAAAATTCACAAAAGGGCTCAGAAGTTATATTTCTGGCCCAGTGATTGTTCCAGCCACTGCTGGGTTTGGACTGGATTTAGCCCACGGATCAGCAGGCGATAAAATCAGCACAGTGCCAGGGGAGGGGCCAGTCCTGTTTCAGCTCTCTGAGCCTGGTTGTCACAGGACACCTAGCCCTGACCAAGGGATCTATCAGAAAGAGAGACGGGACACCTCTCCTTCCACCTCAGAATTCAGAATCACCATGTAAGGGACAAAAATGCCCTGACAAAGGAGGGGGAGAGGGGAGCCGCAGGGAAGAAATCCCACTCAAATGCTCCTCTCCAAGCCTGGCAGAAACATGCCACCTGCAGTTTTCCTGGACTGTGTATTAGCAGCAAGCCCGGAGCCACACAACAGTCTGGCTTCTCCCACCCAGTTCTGCCCCTTACCCACAAAGCTAAGCAGTGAGATACCAAAGCTGCTTGTCAGTTTTTTGGTTTGTTTGCTTTCCTACTTTCTAGGGACTGTTGGGTTGGCCCCTTCCATAAGCACCCAGGTCCCACGTGCAGTTGAGATCAACCTGTCTCAGAGCAGGATGGGAATCCAGGAGGAGCCATTTGTCCCAGCAGCCTGGACTGGCCTAAGGGGAGGAAGAGTTCACCCTTCCCTGTGCAAGTGGGAATTACAGTACTGAGAATGAAGGCCGAGACGCAAAGCTGTATCTGGTCTCATTCACAGCCCACGGCTTCTACACCCCCAAATGCTGCTCACCTGCTCCAGGACCACGGGTTTCTTCTGTTGACTTCAGCAAAACTCGCCTCGGAGCCAGACTGTTTCCCAATAGGCTTTTGTAGCTGCCCCCCCTCAGAAACCCCGTTCTTCTGTATCCCAGTCTCCTATCTTCAGGCCTGGCACAGCAACTGCCCACTTCCAAGCCATATGCTAGTCTCTTTCCAAGTGCCTGGGAGCTGCAGGAAACTCTGGGCTTGGGTACTGTATGGAAACATCACGGGGATCCCTCTCTAGTACAAAGAGAAGGAAGAAAGTTCTCTAAGGTTCCAGTGCCTCATTGACTTCCTTGCTTCCGGAGCTTTACTTGCATCCGTGGAGGATTTGAAACACCAACGTATGCTGCACAGCTCACTCATGGGAACAGAAGCTCCTCTGAGAATCAATCACGGTGGCTGCAGCCTTGAACACCAAACCAGTTAGTCCTCAGGCAGTATGAGCTGAGCCAGAGACATGGATGCGAGTACACGCCAACGTGACATTGGTTGGACAGCGGGATCTGACTCCAGACTGGGCCCGGGCCACCTCTGTGGGTAGCCAAAACAGTGACAAAGCCAGTCTGGTAACCACAAAGTGTCCTCACCGGTCCTGGCTGCTTTGCCATGTGACATGCATCAGCATTTACGTAAGCTCAAGACAGTGAAACTTTAAAGCCAGATATCCAAGGTAGGTGACTTAGTTATTTTTCTATGACTGTGAAGAGACACCATGACCAAGGTAATTTATAAAAGAAAGCATTCAATTTGGGACTTCACAGTTCCAGAGGGTGAGAGTCTCTGATCATCATAGCAGGGAGTATGCAGCTCAGAGCTCACATCTCCCTCAGGCAGAAGCAGAGAGAAGAGAGATAATTGGAAATGATGTGGGTTTTGGACCCCCCAAGCCACCCACCCTCAGTAACACAGCTCCTCTAACAAGGCCACACCTCCTAATCCTTCCCAAACAGTTTTACCAACTGAGGACCAAGCATTCAAATACAGGAGCATTTATGGAACTCATTCTCATTCAAACCACCACAGTGGATCACTCACCCAAGGACCATAGGACTGCCAACTGTGTGCCATGCTCCATGCCAGGCAACAAGGGCGCCAGAAGGAGTAAGACATGGCCTGTAGTCTCAGAGATCTCACAATTTACAGAAGGAAACAAACAGAAAAGTAAGCAGCTACGCAGAAGAGAGCTGTCATAACTGGATCATTAATTCAGCCCCAGGACATGGGAGGAATCCAAATAAGGCGGACATGCTATGTTGTACAAATTACTTACACCCTCTATCCCCAGTTCTGCGTCCAAAACACTGGGATTAATAATATCACAAGGTTTCACAGTGATAACCTGCATAGAGTGCTTACCTTCCTTTATAAAAACAAACAAATTCCCACCCTTGGAGTTAACCAGGAAATAATACACTATATAAATGAGTTTTAACCTTTCCTTGCACAGACATTTTATAAACACTTAACCCTTACACATTTATAGCCTTCAGCCTGAGTCTTTTTTTTTTTGAGACAGGGTTTCCCTGTGTAGCCCTGGCTGTCCTGGAACTCACTACATAGACCAGGCCAGCCTTAAACTCACAGAGTTCTGCCTCCTGAGTGCTGGGATTAAAGGCATAGGCCACTAACCCCAGCCAGAGCCTGACACTTTTATTAGTCACTAGGGCCACTACACAACTGATTGACTAAATCTCTGAAAGTGGAAGCACAAAGGATGAGCTACTAATCCCACTGAGGCACCAAAGTAAACCAGATTGTTTAAAACATGGTATTATAGTTTTGAATACTGAGTTCAGGGGTATTAAGCATATTTGCTGTACAAAGTGATATATTTCATAATGATGTCTTAGATCAAATATGTCATGTATTTTAACCATACTCATTCCCATAATACCCACAAACCTCTCCTACTTCTCCTTCTCCCCCCAAACCTTCATTTCCCTGTTTCCCTCCTAAGTAATTTCCTTCTATTTTCATGTGTGTGTATATACATCATACATATATATGTACATCTATAAAACCTACGTTCTATATGAGAGAAAATGTGATTCCCTATTTTGTAGGTCTGGCTTACTTTGCTTAACACAATCATCCCCAATTCTGACAATTTTCCTGCCAATGACACAATTTCATTCTTTAAAACTAAGTAAAATTCTACTACACACACACACACACACACACACACACCACATTTTCTTAATCCATTTATCTACCAGTGGACAGCTAGGATGATTCCAAAACTTGGGTATAGCAAGTACCTAAAGCATCATTTTGGACAAAATGGAACAGTCACCTTATCCATCATCCATAAGCCAAGTTTTCAGGCAAGGTAGGTAGCCGTCACTATGCTATCTTTTCTCTGCTACTTTGGAAACTGCCAAAGGTAGGGAATGAGTCCAATAAAACCCTGAACACAGTCGAGAGTCCCAGTGTGAAGGCATGGACACCCCTGACCTCACACAGCCCCTACTAGAGCCAGAGAGTCTGGCCCCCAGTTGTAGCGTTTATATCTAGGACTGCATCTCAGCCCGGCCGGCCGAGGACCGGCTATCTTCTAGTTATAGGTCAACCTTTTTGCTCGGTGTGCACGTGCCCTTACCTCAGGTGTCCCAAGCTGTAGAAGCGGGACTCTCCATCGGTGGAGCGGACCACCTGCAGTGTGAACATAGGTTGTAGCTGCCGCAGCTCCAGCAGGACGATGGCAAGGTAGTGGATAAAAAGCAGCGCGTCCACGAGGGAGACGGCATATTGCACGATGTCCTTGTAATTCTGGTCCCTAGAGTCCAAGATGCGGACCCCGTAAAAAAGCCAGTAAGAGACCACGAACAGAAAGATGAGGACCAACAAAAGGGCTCGGAACACAAATACCCGCGGCACGTCTGCTCTTTGCTTGCGGAAGAAGAGTGCCCAGGTTCCGATGAGCAGAATAAGCAGTTTGAACGATACAGAAATGAGGAGTCCCTCGCAGATGGCGCCACAGGGTTTCAGCTCCTCCCTCCACAGGATTGGGGGCAGCAGGATGAAGGCGATGGGGGTGAGGAACACGAGCAGTCCAAGGAAGGCGGCGACAGTAAGGCCCAGATAGCGCTTACAATTCAGCCCCACGCTGTCCTCCATGTCTTTGCTAATCCTGGCAATGTCCTCTTGGGATATACTGTGCTCCGAGGTGCCCGTGATGGCCGTGGTGGTCTCTCCCCAGTTGTCATCCTGATGGGAGAGGAGACAGGGAGACGGATTTGTAAAAAGCCATAGCAAAATAAAACAGAAAAGAAAGACACTTCAGTTACCCCGACTTTCTCAGAAGCGGAAATAGAGTGCGTTTTTCATTTTTACGACTTACTTTTATTGTATGTGCATTGGTATTTTGTCTGCATGTGTGTCTGGGTGAGGATGCCAGATTCCCTGGAACTGGAGTTACAGACAGCTGTGAGCTGCTAATGTGGGTGCTGGGAATTGAACCTGGGTCCTCTGGAAGAGCCATCTCTCCAGCCCCTAGAGTCAGCTTTTAATACAGGGATGCTTTTAAACTTTAGCCATTTTCATTGACATTTTCAAAACAGATTCTCTATTTGTCCTTTGAACACAGAAAACACAATCCAACCTGTGAATCCGTTTGGGTGATCCGTCACGGAGATGCCTGTCATCCCTCAGGGTGGAAAGTCCTGAGAAGCCCAGGGGCCTGGCCTTTCTGCTCCGACTTGACTAGCGGTTGTTAAATTAAGCTGCAGTGAAGCTGTTACAGGAGAGTACCCACGACTGCACACCAGTGCATCCCGCCCCTGTCACCCACTACTACACACCAGTGGACCTCATCCCCTGCTAAGTTCTAGGCTGACAAAGCCCAGATCTCGCCTCCGGTAGCTCTGCAGAGCAGGGGCATAAAAAAGGAATGCGCATCACATCACGCGAGTTCAAACGCACCCACAGCTGAATCACACAACATCTAAACTTCTGTATGACACTTGCAGGGTTTACTTCAGTGAGGAGCAGCAATAAGAACTCTTTGACAACATTTCTCACTGACTAAGTAAAGAAAATCTAAAACTCTATCTATGGCCAGATCAGCTCAAAAATTCTTTCTAAAACATGTTTTCATGATAAACTAAACAGCAAGGTCATAGGAATATCAGCACATAGCATGTTATTATGGCTATTCTATCTTTAACTCCATTGCTTTCTTCTTTTAAACTGCTAGGTAGTTGCTAGTGGGAGCACTTGACCTGTTCATTCAATGAGAGTCTGTTAAATACGTCGTTTGTTTTCTGGCAACTGGGACTCCATCTCAGGGCACAACAGAGTCAGTCAGGAGGCACCAGAGACCATGTGAGTTCCACGTGTTATGATTTAACTGGAAAAACTTAAGTCGTATACAGCAGCCAAGTGGTAGAATGAGGACATCAGCTTACGACAGATGGAGTTTCAGTACATGGATAAAATGGCGGCATAATCACTCGTAACCAAACAAACCACGTTCTCACCCATCCGTGGATCCTAGCAGTGAATCTTTGGATTTGTGTGTTTCATTTGGAGTACCCATAGGACCTGGGAAATCAGAGAGGGACCATTGGTAGGGAGGAAGAAGAAGAAGGATCTTAAAGGAGGGGGTGTGTAGGGCACAGGCGATAGCAAGCAGAGGGGGGAGACGGAAAGGGAACTTTATGTGGGGGAGGATAACTATTATTTTATAAACTTCACAAACATGTTTATTCATATAAAAGAGTTTAATTGTAATCACCCTACACAAGGCACCAAGCTCCTCCCAGAAGCCACAGGTTTTCAAATAAAAAGTCCAGTGCTGGGTGTGTGCGCCCAGCAGAAGCTAACGGTAAGACCTTGCTGCTGAAGACATCACATCCTTTGGTCACAGGGAATGGGAAAACCAAGTAGGCAGTGACAAAGAATCTTCCTCCCTGCTGGCTAGTTTTTCTAGTACAAAAGATGCTGTGCAGGCAATTGGGGAGTTGGGGATGGGGAAGTCATCAGTAGTTTGACTCAGCTGTGAACTCTCATGGCCGCAATAATGGCATGAATGCTATGATGGTAACCAACTGGTTTCTGATAGGACGTAAAGCCAATGTGGCCAAGAACCCATGGTTGGGGAGGTCACAGACCTCAAGGGGACACCACTGCCATTATTCTGCTAAATGGATGTAATAGCAAGGCATCTTCTAAAGTCGCATCTCTTTACCTCTCGGACCTCATCAGAAGGATTTCTTTGTGTAGTGGATGGCAATTAACACAGAAATTCAGAACTAGAGCAAAACCAAAATGTGATTCGGTCACAAACGGGACATCTGTATCATACCCCTTCTGTATGAGGCTCAGGGACCATTTCAGGAGAGGGGAAGCAAAGACTGTAAGGGCCAGAAATCAGGGAGAAAACAGGATGACAGTATCTCTGGAATACAACAGGACCCTGGACTCATGAACTCAGAGTTGTGGTTGCCTACACAAAATCAAGCCAGCCAACATTCCAGTACAGAGCAGGCAAGGGGCTCACGAGTCCCCAACTCCTAACTGTGAAGCTCTTGGCAGCTAATGGATTCTGGAGGCAGGAGAGTCAGTTGTTTTGTTCACGGTTTGGCCCATGGTAGGTTGCAAACACTCCAGGGAATGACTCACATATCCTGGACTAGGTAAGTTCTTTAAAGAAGAAGATGTATAGTTGGGAGGGGTGAGAAGTTGAGAGTGAATGTGGGCAAAGTTATGGGGAGGAGTGAATATGATCAAATAAATTGTATGCATGTGTGAAATTTTTAAAGAATCAATAAGAACATTACATTTAATTTTTTTTAAAGATCCAGGCTAAGAAATAATGTGTTATCATTAAAAAAACATAATTTATGAACATCTCAGCAAATATTAGGGGTGGGTAGTAATGATTTTAATATAGGAACACATAGGCTATCAAGTTGGGAAGTCAGAGGCATCATGGGGCATTAGAGAAATGACCACAGACAATGGCTAGGAGCAGCCAGGCACTGCTGATGGAGGTTTAAGATGGTTTACCACTGCCAGAAAACGGGCCTGACACTCTCACAGAAACTTAGATATATATTTAACCACACGGCCCAGCAATTCGACTCCTAGGTGTTACCAAAAGTTAATGGAAATATGTCCACAAAAAACGTATAAAAATATTCATAGGAGCTTAATCCATCGTAGAATGTGTATGCCTCCAAGGTCCACCTGCCAGCGGAACAGATAACAAACAGTGGTCAAGTCAATGGAACACTAGTCAGCAAAAATAATAAAGGGTGAACTGTTGAAACACACAGACCGTGGACAAATATCAAAATCATCATGCTGAGTGGGGAAAAACTCATATGATTCCAATTATATTCAACTCTCCAACAGGCAAAACCAATCCACTGAGATGGAAATCAAAATAGCGGTTGCCCTGGAGAGGTGGGGATGGCGGTACGGATCAGCTAGGAAGAGCCAGGAGAATTTTCTGAGCCGAAGGGTGTGGGTTCATCTGTTGAAACCCTCTAAGTATACCCTTGAGAACGATTTGATTTCTCCGAGTGAATTTAGGTCAGTTAAGAAAAAGATACACCAGCGGGAGAACACAAAGCACAAAGACATACAACTTGCTGCAATAGAAGACAAGTTCACAGGCTGTAGGAAACAGTTGGCCTTGGAGCACTGTCTCGGGGAAGACAAACGCTGGATTCTGCACATGTGACTGATAGCCCTGCTGAGGTAACCAGTACGGATTCTGTTGTGTAATAACACTGCTCTGACTCAGCTGCGCACACAACTCCCTGCCAGTGAGTTGCTAACTAAATGCCTCATCATTTTACAAACCCATGCACATCTCTGTCTAAGAAAAGGATAGCTGTACAAAGGTGTCTCTCAAATTTGAGGTCTTCAGGGAGGAAAAATGCATCTGAACTTCACCAGTTGAAATCCCTAGATTTTTGGTGAAGACGCTGAGGTCAACAAGAGTTGTAGTTCCTAAAGTTAACACGGTTACTGAAACACACAGCCTCCTAAAGTCCTTCCCATCACACCATCCTGCTGAAAGCATCAACAGCTTCCCAGAGAGCTCAGGGTACAAAGAAAGAAAAACCTACGCGGTGGGTTACTGGCACCTCTGAATCCACTTCTGGAGGAAACTGACCCCTGAGGCTTTTCAGGATGATCCAGTCATAAGACTGACCACATCCATCCATCACCCATCTATCCATCCTTCCATCCATCCATCCATCCTTACATCTGTCCTCTTACCAAAGCAAGCAGCAAACAGTATTACAAGAATTTGCTCGCTACTGAACAAACTCCACATTCAGTGGGGAAGCATAGTTATCAGTACCAATGGCATCTGTAGCCTTGAAGGGATTATAGTTTCAGGGTTCCTATCTGATTATGAATGCCTATCTGTGGGCACCTACAGGTGTGCATGGGTATACGCTTATCTCTGCTCCTCTATCTTTATGGCTGTGTATCCGTGCATTGCTTTGTTTGTGTGAGGCAAGGCTGGGCATGCAATATTTCAGATGTGTGTGGGGGGGTGTGTAAACATACTTCTGAGTTTAGCTCAGACGGTTATTTAAATCAAGTAGGCTGCCAGACAGTAGGGACTCCAAAAAGATCCCACACATTTTTTTTAAAGTAATAAAGTGTTGATATTTCAAAATTGGTTGACTTCATATGAGGTCCTAAAGCTAATATTTCTGAAACAGGCCAGGCCTAGGAAACCCGAACTCCTGCAGTCCTGAGTGGCAGTGGTCTGGAGCAGAGAAGCTGTTGTGTCTTGCCAGAGGAAACCCCTTCTCCAATTTATGCCAGCTCCAACCAATAGCCTTGACATTAAGGCGCCCCAAAGACCACAGCTACTCACCCCAAAGTTTGCCGAACGTATTTCTGACCCTGATCTTTGACTTTAGATATCCCGTTCATTTAGATTTCTATGCTTGCCAACCAAGAGCCAAGGACTTGATTTCTTCATATTCCGAGTTTCTGGGCTGTCTTCTCTCGTCAGTGTCAAACATTCTTTGGGTGTTTTTGGGGAGGGAGTTTCCTGCCCTCTCCAGTTCCATTCCATTTTGGAATGAGTCTCCAGGGACTCTTGCCTGGAACTTTCCCCATTTCTGACCTGTCATCAGCCCAGCTGGCTTCTTTCCAACATCATTCAAAGGAGGCCACCAATCACACGTCAGAAGGACCCCAAGCTGCCCAATGATAGGACATGTCTCTTAGACCAGCAATAAAACCAGAAAAATAGATAAACTCATTAAGATGTTAGAAAAATAAAAATTAAAAACCCAAGAGAACTTACTGCAACAAGACTTTGGGGAAAAAAACGTTTGCGGAGGGGAGGCGGGGCTGAGTGGCAGCCTGCCCACAGCAGTGCCTTTGATCCTTACCTGAACTTCCTCTGCGCCTGTGGGGGCAGAGTCATTTGCCAGCAGGGGTTCTCCAGTGGGAGCCTGGATAGTGACAGACTTTTCTGACCCTCTGCCATCTTTACTCCGTGGAGATTTGTGTCTTTCTCGTGTTCTTTCCCTGGGGAGAAATCCAGTAATCAGATCTCAAGCTTAGGCCAAGTTCATTACTCTCTAGCTCACCAAAACATAAATTTTATTTTGATGTCAGGGAAATTCTATGCTTAGACCTATACCCCACCCCCACCTATACATGTGGCATCCGTTGCTATCCATCCCCACAGCCTGTAAGGAGTAAGATTATCTTGAATCCCCTATTTAGTATTTCCTTTCTGCCAATTTAAAACCCAAAACAAAGTCTTGGCCACTCCTCCACCAACAATGATCACATTTTTTTTTTCAGAGCCTAATTTTAGAAATCCTATGGCTGAGGAACATTTTACTGTAATAATTAAACTCGGTTGATTTGACTATCATTTGCCTCAGCTAATTAGAAATGCTTTTTACTGGAAGAACACTGCATCATATCTAAACTTTGGTCTGACCAAAAAAAAAAAAAAAATCTGGGACACGATGTCACACTATACTTTGGGGGACAAGGACAGAAGAAAGGAAATCCTAAACCTGGACAGAGAATCATTTACTTCTCATTCTTACAAACTCAACATGAAAGCCATTCCTGTAGGTTTTGGCAGAGCTCAAAGACACCCATAGGAACAAAGAAGGCGAAACAAATGACCCTGGGGGGGGGGTGTCTTCAGGCCACCTGAGAAAAGCAGGCTTTCCACACTTGCACCCCAGAGGGACTTTGTGGGTGGTCATTCAGAGACAGTGGGAGGACACCCTGTTGTTAAGTCTTAAAACTACAAAAGGAATCGGCCACAGTGGCCAAGCCCTGGAGGTCACAGGCAGGTCAATAAGCAGTGGCTCAAAAGAAGCCCTGCAGTGGCCAACATCCCAACATCCTATCGGGTTTCCTTGGCCTTCTGTCCCCGTGTGCCATTTGACAGTCTTTCCCACTGCCACCTCTCCTCACACCCAAGGTTTCCCGTTCTGTGTGCAGAGCCAGTTAGCTCTCCATCTCACAGGAGATGGGTGACCGTACGCAGGGTATTGACTTCAGTTTCCCTTTGTGGGAAACGGAATGGGGGCCATGAGGATGTCACACAGACGAGGGAACGTGTGTGTGCCCAGTACAAGGATGTGGAGGGAGCACCCAACATACAGTGGCCATTATTAGTCAACGGCAACAACAGAGTCTGGGCCTTGGGACAGAGAGTATGCTGCCCTGAAGAAAGGGGCGTAAAAGAGCCCCGAGCAGCACACTACCAAACCTCTTCCTCACTGACCGTCTATCTCCTATTAAGCTACTCCTTAGCAACAACAACAAAACCCTAAAAGAAAACAACGGAATGGCAGATCTCTTGGCAGACTCCTATCTTGGGAACCCCTCCCTTGGATATGCAGTGGACAATTCTTTCAAGGAACAAAGGGTTTCCCACGGCAGGGAGTTTTCTAGCGACAATACCTCCATTCTTAGCCTGTCCAATAGAAAGAGAAGTGCTCTGGTTAGCTGTGGGTGGTTCAAGTCAGGCAACCAAATAAGCAGAGGATCTAGCTCTTCACTCAGGTCTATAGGTAATGCGGCCAGCTTCCCCTGCTCTGGCCCAGCCACACAGCTCTTGTGGAGTGCTTGACTGGATTAGCTCCAATCAATTCTAACAAATGGCTCTGAGGCCAGTATTACTGTCCCATCTCACAGATGGAAAAAAATTGAGGCTCAGGGAGTTTGAGTGCCTTCCAGAAGTTGTGGTAAGGAGCAGAGCAGGAACTGAAGCCAAGTCTGTTGCCATTATGTCTATTCAAAGCCACTATGTTATACTGTTTTGGGAGAATAGTGAGATTTTTTTAATTAGCATAAAAATTATATAAAACAATGGGCTTTTACTAGGACACTTTCCATACATGAAGATATTGTACTTTGATCACACTGACCCTCTTCTTCCTTCTTTTCCTCCTCCCCACTGTTTCCCTTTCTCTTCCTAAATATCCGAAATCTGGAGATTTTATAGCGTAAATATTCCTAGCACTCATGTTCTGCTGGAGTTATGAAATAGGCCTTTGAAGTTAGTATTGATGGTCACTATTGGCCATGACCATCAGTAGCCTTATCTGTGCGCTCTGGGCTGTCCAATACCAGCACTCCAAAAGGCATTCTCTGTGAGCAACATTGAGCCAAGTGGGGGATTCTTGCTCTCCCAGCGAGGTCAGTCTTCAGAATGAACTTCAGGCTAGGTCTAGAACTGCTTTCCACCAGGTCCTGCCTGCACCTGGATTACCCAGGGGTGACCCCATGCCCTTCCGCTCCCCCCTACTGCTCTTCCGTTTGTCACTCTCTTGTTGGCCAGCTGCTGAGTCACATGCTTATCTAACCTGGCTCTCTATTGAAAACCCTCACAGGTCAAATCCTGTGACAGCAAAGATTGTTCTGGAACTAAATCCTTCCACTTCGTGCTAGCTTCTGGTTCCTGAACACCGCCAGGGCTGAAGCAGAAAGGAACTAACAGGAACTAAAAAGGACCACACTCCTCTCTCTGGACCACCCAGATGGCAGGGCTCGTAAAGGCCCCATGAACGCTGACATGGGAACATCCAGGATCTTGGCAACTCTGTCTCACAGCTCCCCGGATAGTACCGGAGTGAACCAGGTAAGAACTTGATATCTAGCACCCTGTCCTCCAGCACCTGCCACTCCACACCAGTGCCTCCCATTTCTCAGACCCCTTGTGCAGACAAGCCACCGTGGGTGCAGAGACTGGGTGGCCCTGCCCTTGGAGAATTTGTCTGGAAGAGAGACAACAGGAATCTACATTTTTCTCACCAGCACCCCAGGCCATCAGGATGCAGGTGACCCAAGGATTATTCCTGAGGACTTTCCCACCCCCTGTTTCGGGGGCGGGCTGGGGGTGGGGACGCTGTGGAAATTCCTACTTAGAAGTCTGCCTATGTGTGAAAAGCCTTGTGAATGGCCGGGGATCAAAATCACGGGATGCTCAGCTGTGTAGCGCTGTAATACACAGTGCATCCTTATTAAAATAGTGGGGCTGGAGAGATGGCTCAACAGTTAAGGGTGCTTACTGCTCTCCCAGAGGTCTGAGTTCTGTTCCCAGCACCCACATCGAGAGACTGGCAAACACCTGTAACTCCTGCTCCTGGGTTCCGTGAGCACCTTTAGGATACACAAACACAGACTCGTAAATAAAAATAAATCTTTTAATTTTGGTAGTGCGTGGATGAAGTAAAGCACACAAGCCCAACCGAGGGTGACCCCGAACAGAGAGGCTCCTATCAGCGCTTCACCAAGTGAGCTAGCTGCTCCCCGTACTGGTCTCACCATAGAAGGGAGTGAGACTCACCACACAGCAGTCCCAGAAATCACTGCTGCTAGTTACTGCTCTGGGCAAGTCTCCAAGTCAAGCCAGGACTTGAGGGTGATGTCCAAGAAAAACACTGTTGATCATCCATCCAGGGCTTTCTAGTTTGCAGAACTACAAAACCTCTAAGAGGTCACTCCACTGCAGAATATACCTCAACGCTCATCTCTGTAGCTCCAGAGGCAGTAACGGGAAAATGGAGATGGAGCTCAGTCGGTAGAGGGCTTGCCTAGCCTTACTGAAGCCCTGGGTTCAATCCCCAGCACCGCATAAAACCAGACAAAACGGCACACACCTGTGACCCTTGGTGACATACAGAATTCGAGGCCAGCCTGGGACAGCAAACTGGTGCTGTAACTTAAAGGGACATCTATCTGTGGCTGTCCATTATCTTGGAAGAGAGCTCCCCAATGATGAAACTGAGAGTCAGGGGTGGGGGTGGGGGCGGAATAAACAGTTTCCTAAGCCAATAAATGGAACATTAAGACACACTCAAGATTTAATGGCCTAAGTGGTCCGCATCACCTGAGGCTCTGGCTGGGCAGCCTCCTCACCCACAGGAATCTGCGTCTTTATCGCTAAATCTGTCTTCCTGATTCCTTGGCCCACAGGAGTAAAGATAAGGCTGTCAGGGCAAAAGATAAGTGTATCTGTGCACTGTGGGTACACAGGCGCGCGAGGGTGGGGAGGGCAAGTGGCAGCAAGCGTGAGGCAACCATGTGCGCAGGCAAATGCAGCATCATTTAGGCAACTTGCTAGCCAAGCTGCAGGGAGCTCTGTGACTCCCCCTTCGGTTTAGCCGGAATGCCTGAGATTCCCACACGGTCCCCACTTACAGTCAGCATTTCCTGGGCAGGCTGTTTCCTCCCGTTCCGTTGCTTGTCCGTTTCTAAATGGGGAAAGCCATCCCACCGGTTACTCCTCCCTTTCCTCCCCTACCACCACCCACTCATTACCTGTCCCCTGCCAGTGGACTGGAGGCCTGCTGGGTGTGGAGAACAAAGAGGCTGATGGGGGGCGGGGCTGGGGCTCCACCACTGCCTGGGCAGCCCTTTTTCAACAATGCATTTTAACACAGTAGCCACATTTTCCTTCCAAAGGTGGCACTCTCTTCCAAAGGACCAACAAGCCTGAAACTTGTCAAGTGGTCCAATATCTATCTGGTAGTCATGTTCCTCTCTGGGCCTCAGTTTCCCCACCTGTAAAATGGTGCCCCGGATCCCCACTATTCTAGGACCGTTGTAAGCAGAGGAGATGGCGACCAGGACAGACCTTGCTCCCAGCAGCTGCTGGCATCAGGAGCCCCACAGGTCAGTCGAGGTTGGCTGCAGTTTGTACTGCTCTCTCGGCAAGCTAACTAACTGGACGCTCTCTGGAGAACGCAGGCATCAGTGACCTCTTTGTCAGATAGCGGGCTCGGGCAGTGGCCAATCCTCCAAGCCCATCACTGTCATCAGGCGCTTCATTATTCTTTTCTGAGTTGGAGCTGCGCTAAAATTACCAAAAGACCAGGTCCCCTTCTTTTCCTACTCCTCCATTCAAACTCCCTGCAAATCATCAAGCAGAGAAGCCTTTACAGGGCATTCCTCAGACCAGAAAGGCCCGAGGCCGCTGGCTCTCTTGCCTGTGGAGGGCCCCTCCACCGCTGGACATTCTTCGCACCCTGGCTGAACACTCCACAGGACCCACTGTGAGTGGGGTACAAACTGTGCCCTGCCGTTCCTATGACCTCTGTAGTCCTCCCCCAGCAAGACAATGCAACAGAAGGGAGGGAGGGGCTTCAAAGATCCACTAAGTGCACTTACACAGCCCTCCAGCTCAAATCCCTCACTCAGCTCCACTCAGAATGGGCACTCAACAATATTCCCTGACCAACCGTTGGGAAGCAGAACTCCACTCGGGCCTCCCAGTAGGAGCTCCACAGCGTTCCTTGATCAATTGATTAAAAGCCTCGGCCCCAACTTGCATCTGCCAAGTACTTTCCACAAGGGAACAAGGAAGAACTAAGCGTTCTGCGTGTCATCTTAATTGAAAGTTATAGTCTCTTACAGTTCCCATAACAGCACTAGAGCCATGCATCTCGGGGACCCCAGGAGGTCCGGGGAAGCAGCAGCAAGCAGCAATGGGCCTGGGAGGTGTACATCTTGCTGGATGTGCAGACAAAAGAAGCCGGGGCTGGCTCCATTCAGAATTTTGTAAGCCACCCTCCTCTCCTGCTCACCCCAAGCTCCCAAGAAACCCCAAATTTCTACTCATACCATATGGATGAGGAAGCCTGACATCCCAACAACCCAGCTGCTTTTTCCAGTTCGGTCCAAAAAAAGCATATATTTGAAAACAGCTGTTTCTGGTATTTTAGAACAAATCTGTTAAGCTCGCCCACTGATCAAAATCTGTGATCATTTCTAAAACCAGGGGAAGAAGGGGGTTCTGACTTTCTCAGGATCCGGGCTGTAGAACGTCACCCCCAAAGTGCCCACTCCGCGCCTTCTGTCCTCACTGGGGAAAAGAGCTGGGCTCCAGCACTGGGAGCTATACAAAAAATGCAGGAATGTTTGGAAAAGAAAGCAATTAAAAAGAAGAAGAACCACCCAGAAGCCTATTTCTTTGAAATAATGTCGTCCCGTGAGCACAGTCTTGAAAAACTTCCTTTTATGCTTTTATTTCATTCGTTTTACCTTTCTGAAGACAGGGTCTCACTGCGGAGCCCTGCCTGGCCTGGAAGTTGCTACTTGTCAGGTAGACCAGGCTGGCCTCCAACTCATAGCTAGCACACCTCTGTCCCCTACATGCTAGTACTAAAGGCCTCTGCTCCCTTATCGGGGTCCATTCACTCTTTTTTTTAAAAAAAAAAATTACAAACTCCACATTGGTGGAGAAAAATCAAGTTTACATGGACAAGTCGCCACCTCCCAGGCGCCACTGCCGAGAGCCCCTTCCATGACACTCCAACAGCCTGGAAAACACATGGAGGCTTCTTTCCCGGCATGGCCATCCATGCAGGAGCCACAAAACATATATCCTAACCTGAAATCTCACTCTGGGCACAGCTCCTCATATGGTGATCTGCTCAGGGACAGGAGCCATCACCAGGGCAGTAACCATTCCATACAGCACACAGCTGTGGCCACAGGTGGCCCTCTGAGCACAGCTGTGGCCACAGGTGGCCCTCTGAGCACAGCTGTGGCCACAGGTGGCCCTCTGAGCACAGCTGTGGCCACAGGTGGCCCTCTGAGCTAGGGGCAGTCGTCACCTTCGAACACAGGTGGCTGAAATACCAAGGCTAAACAGCATGGACGCAGCTACTAGCGAGAGGCCTCCTACTATGGCCGAGCTCCTCATTTCCCAAGCACAGCTCATTCAGTCTAGGAGACGGGCTCTCCATACCCATTTCACAGAGGAGGAGACCCCTCACCTGTTGTGTTCTTACCCTGCACAGTACAATACCACCCACGGCATCATTGACGTGTCCGTTCGTCCATCTGTCCCTGTGTCCCGCCACTCAGCAAGCATTCTGCAGGCCAGAATGCACATGGCGCTCTGAGTACCAAAGCGGGCCTGTTTCGATCGGCAAGGCTGGAGAGTTGGGTCCCACCACGCAGGTCAGTGTTTGCAAACCCTGAGCTTGCTCTCTTGGAAGACTAGTCAAAGAGAGATCGGATGCTAGGCCAATCATGCCCACGTGTGGGTGTCGGCGGGCAGGTGTGCACGTCTGTGTCCCCCTCCCACCCCTCGCCCCCCTTATGCTCCACCCCATGCCCGAGAGAGCCTCAGGGCAGAGGCTTAATGGCCCGTGAGTCAGCAGCTCTGGGTGAAGGGAGAAATTAACACCTACTTTTTAACTTTCATTCACAGACTTGGTAAAGTTTTAGAAGAACTACATCTATGAGAAGGACTTAGAAATGAGAACCATTTCCACTGCTGGGAAAACTTTAATTTAAAACCAATTGTGAGAAATTAAGGTCATCAACTCTAATGGCGGCTATAAAATGTAAATTGGCAGAGCCGAGTCTCAGGGAGCCTGTCAGCTGCTCTTACAGCTTGGCTTCTCAAGCACCAGCCGGCTGAACCCTTAACATCCTCAGCCCTTAGGGCAGACTGTTGAAAACCTAATTCCCAAAGAGAAGGGCGGACTGATGCTTTGCTTACATACCCTTGCCGGTGAGATTTCTTTGAATGGCTTGAGTAGTAGGAATATCCAGAATATGTGGATTCGGTATCCATAGCAATGGCGAGCTTCCCCGGATGGCGGACGGTGCAGGCTCTCTTCTTCCACGAGCAGTCTCACCGGCTCGCTCCGAAAGCCTTGTGGGCCTCAGAGACGCTGCTCTTCAACAGGACTCTGGGAAAGGGAGAAAATGGAAATGGAGAGATTAATCCTCAGAAATCAATCTTAAGAGGGTGGAAAGATAAACCGACAATAGCCGACTCTCCTCGGAGGTTCCCGTTATGGAATAAGTAAGCATAACACTCAAACCTTCAAACGGGGCTGCTGCTCACTGAGGAACAAGCTTCGCAGGTGTCCGAGAGGTGAGAGGGGTACCAAGCATGCTGGACCCCATCACAACCACAGGAAGAAGGCTTGGGAGAAGCCTAGGCATTGAGACATTTATTTCTCATGGCTTTGGCTGTAGGAACTGCTTCTCACACCAACCCCCAGACAAATGTCTATCCCACCCCCAACTGTCAGTTATAAAAACAACTCCCAGGGAAATCGCTTATTCAGCATTTTGGCCATCGTTTCCAAAAGTCAATTAAAGGTTTTTTTTTTCCCTTAGTCTCTTCGAGACTCCAAACACCTAGAAATTTACCTTAGATAATTAAAAATCAACAACCACCACAATTGCCTTGCTGCTTATGATAATAAAAAGCCAGAAGCAATGTAAATGCCTCCCCAAGCCAAGGAATAGCTAGGGGGAAATTATGATTTAGTCAGTCAAAGAAAATATCATGTATCCGTATAAAATGACAATTATGAAGAATGGAGATTTTTAATAAGCAGGAAACAGGACTGCAGGTAGCCAGTGAGCCTACACAACTTTTACAATGATGTACGGAAGGGCAGGGACTGCTACCCGGGGACATCAGGAAAGGTGATTTATTAGTTGCAAGGTCCTAGGTCCTTTCCCACTTCCCGCAAATATTGCTCTGCAATAAAAATAAATTGGAAACACTTGTGAGCCCATTCCTGAGCCTCCACATGCTCAGCCTTCACTTCTAGCAAGTCTGATCTAGAGTTCTGCCTCTGACTGCACCCCTCTCCCAGGCCTGGTCTAGGCCCCGCAGGGTTTCCCACCCTGCAGTGTCCTGGAGGCTAAAACTCAAACAGGGCCAGTGTGACGAAGTGTGCGAAGAAAACAAAGGAGTTGCAAAGTCCACACCCTGCCCCAGTGCAGGGAGGCTCGGGTCCCAGACCACAGCAACAGCTCAGACTGGGAGACATTTCCAACTGGGAGCGTTAACCAGGCCTGGACGTCACAGCTGCACAGTTACACTGACCCAGAGTCTACAAGTGGCATTCTCTTCCTTCCTGGATGGAAGATGCTTCCTAAAGAGACCCCGTGCCTAGGGGCTACCTGCCTTGTTCTAGATGCCTCAACTCATGATTTCGCTAGGAACTGACCTCAGAGCACTAATTGTTCATGTTAAAAAAAAAAAAGATCTCCCCCACTCTCTAATGTGATTAAAAGCTAAAAGCGATGAAAATGTCCCCTAAACCAAGGGCACATATGGCCCAGTCAACCCCAAACTAGCACACGTCGGTAGGAAATGATAATTATGGAGTCAAACCCCAAGGCCACTCCTTGCCCTCCTGCTCCACCCAGGCCTTTCTCTCGGCACTGACGCGTCCAGTTCATGTCCGTGTTATTAAGGAGCCGGGAGACCCTGCTCAGGAGTGCTGGAGCCACAGAGCTGTGACCGGACAGAGACCTGGCCCTTTCCCTGGCCCTGCTGGTGGCCGGCCAGTTCCACTCATAGCCTTCCTTCTCTACTGCTTGGTCTTCTTTCCCGTATCAGGTTGTTACTTAACAGCCACCTGTCAGCAAGAGCCAAAGCCTAGTCATGGGGAAGCCTAGAGCCCAGGCCATGCTTAGACACCTGTGATCAGCCCCTCTCTTGCCTTCTTGAATCCAAATCTGCTCACTCATCACTCGCAAGCCGCCATCTCCCATAGCAGAGATATAAACAGACACAGACTCAACTTGCTTCCTAGCTGTGGGGCCTCAGTCAAATGATGAAACCTCTTTGAAGTCCCATCTATAAAATGTGAGCATCAGGAGCGTTTTGATGACTATACGAGCGCACGGAGGTAACAGGAACCAGCATGGGCACCAGATGCGCAGGGTAAGTAAAAGTGGGTGGCTCCAAGAGCTTCTTTCGGAGATTTCTAAACTCCAAGATCTTCTATGGAGGGCACCTTCCTCTAGGCTTTCCCACCCAAGGCATACCTGCTGCGGGCAGAATGGGGCTGCCTCTCAGGCGGCCTGCTCACCCACCAGCTTGTGTACTGGAAGAAGAAGGCAGTTTGATCTTGGCGCTGTGGGTTTCCTACCTAGTAAAAGGAAGTCAAGCAGCCTACTTGGGAGGAAGGCGGTGAGGGTACAGACTAAATGTGAAACCAATCAGGCACTCTCAAAACATTAGCTTGGCTCCAGGACTGTCTCCCAGGGACTTCACCAGCCATTCACCAAGCTTTCAGAAGGCAGGGGTCTCCCTCCTTTCTGCCCTGGGCTATGTTCCTTACTCACTGGCCTTCTGGCTGGCAGACAAGCACCCCTAGGGAGATACAGCCAGGATAGGGAGCCTAGCAGCAACCAATCCTCTTTCCTTGATAGCCACTGGCCCAGCTCTCTGCTGACTTACAGATTCCAAAATTTGCCTCCTTCGTCAGAAAGCTGACCATTCTCTACATTCATAATTAACTCCCCTCATCCTGACACTTGCTTCTTCTACCTTCCGGCCTGTAACTTCTGATTTCTCACCAGCAATCGAGGGGCATCTTAGAGGAAGGTAGCTCCAACCCAGAACACCACGAGTGAGTCTGTGTTCGTACCGCCTTGCTGTCATACCACAGGTCAAATGCTTCTGCTCTGTCCCATGCCCAAGTCCCCAGTAAAATGACATCATTAATATTCCCTTCTCAAGGTCATTATGAGGAATAAACAAGACTCCTGAGGTATAATCTCTCGCGCACAGACCCCAAATCTCGCTCGCTTCTCCCTCTGCGGAAGGTCATCATCATTCTTTGTCCTCATTACAATGTGGACCATCCATTAAGGCAACGCCAGGCATGTCCCACAGAGGAAATCCCAGCTCTCAACAGACCCCCTCTGGAAAACGTCTCTTCCTAACTGTACCAACTACCCTTGCCCAGGTTTTCTCCAAAGAGAGGAATCTTGAATGCGATCCAGCCTGACCCCATACCTGCTGCCACTAAATCCTCCATCCTTCCCCCTTCATTGAAGAAACTCTCAGTTGGCCAGAGACTGCCTTGAGTCTCCAAAGGTCACCCTTGTCCTCTTTCTCCTGGCCCATCTTGACCCTTTGACTCACCCCTTCATATTTCATGAGCAGCCTCCAAACCCTGCTCAGTGACAGAGGGATGGCTTCAACAGGGGCACACCATCTCCCTCGTTAAGTTTCACCGATGTCTAGCTTCTAACTCGATGGCCCTTGTACTGTCTGTTGCCCCTTCTCCTCTAACACATCTTCCTACAATCCCACCCCCTATCAGGTTTTCACCCCATTATTCTTCAACATCTCTGGTGATAGACACACTCCTCAGAGTCAGGAGCAATGGTCCCCTCACCCAAAGATTATGAACGCTTCCTGAAAACTAAAACCAAATGCTCCCTTTTTCTGCTCTTTCAGCTCTGGTCCACAGTTGTGCTCTTCTGTCTTGTCTTGGTCTTCCTACTGTCCTCGGCCTGGCCTGTGATGCTGCCAGCCTAGTCAGTGGATGGACCCACTCTTGGTGTTTTCAGCACTCTCTCCGGTCCATCCACGCATCCCAGCAACGCCAAGCTCCACCTGTCCTCAGGTCCGCCCTATCCACTCACAGCTCACAGCAGAGAGACAGCCTCGAGAACACCTCCGGGTTTCCAGGTTTCCTCACCTGACCCAGCCCACACAGAGCCTGGCCTTCCTAAGTCTCTCTGCTTTCACCATGGTTACCAGCTCTTGCCTCATCCTAAGATCTGAGTGAGCAGTCAGGAGGGTAACTAATAAAAGGCAGGGTGAACTCCTTCCAGAAAAGGGCTCGACCTCAGGTAGGGGCTCCCACTTGAGTTAATTAAGGCACACATTCCCATGTTCATCTCTGAAAGGAACTAACCAAGTGTACGAGGGACACCTTTATCAGCAAAGACAATAAAGTAAGGAAAAGACGTCCCTTTCCCTGGGCATCAAGCTAATGAGAGGTTGCTGTGCCCAGACTGGGATAGGGGCAGGTAGGGGTGTAGACGGGGAATCCTTGAACCTGCAGCTGTCTATCATACCAGCCCCTGACAGGACCTGCACTGGGTAGTAGCCAAACTGGCTTCACCTCTATCCCCACCTGCTTCAAATTCCCTATGGTGTTCCCTGGACTTTAAAACACAGAAACTTGGGGCCAGAGAGATGGCTCAGAGGTTAAGAGCACTGACTGTTCTTCCAGAGGTCCTGAGTTCAATTCCCAGCAATCACATGGTGGCTCACAATCATCTGTAATGAGATCTGGTGCCCTCTTCTGGCCTGCAAACATACAGACAGAACACTGTATACATAATAAATAAATAAATCTTTAGAAAAAAAAACCACAGAAACTTTCATTTGATCAGCAGTCTTGCCAGCTGTTCCAGCTCCTCTGGGGCCCGGTTCATTCCAGCCCCAGGACCTTAGAGAGTCCAGTTTATCTGCTGGGGCTCGTTCTTTTCCCACCCACCATTTTGGCTAATTCCTCTCCGTTTAAACACACTTCTTTGGCAGGCCCTTGTTGACCCTCCAGTCCGCACCTGGCCAGCCCACCACCTGCATTCCCCCTACAGATCTCCCAAGTTACACATTCACTTGGGTGGCAACTGAGCATCAGGCTCCCTGAAGAGGCTCCTGGGGTGCAGGGACCGTGTTCCTTACCCTCTCCCCAGCTGCTGGCAAACAAGAGGCACATTAATAAATATTTGCTAAATGGATGAGGAGAATGTCCTGAGACGTGCCTGTTTCAGGACACGGAGGCACGCCTTTACCATAGAAGAAAGCCTGCAGAGAGCAGGTAAAGGGGAGACCTGGGGACTATCCGGAAGGAAGCTACACCGTTGGTGCACAGGGCAGCTTACTTAGCAACAGAACATATGGTCCAGATGGGCTCAGGGATGACCAGCACCATTGCTTCAGCTACTATCCTGCCCTGGTCTGGGCCGGAATACACCAAACCACAGGGCCTGGGGAACATTGCCGAGACAGCATCTCACAGTGTGCACTGAACGTTCCCCCGCCACCCTGGACTAAAACAAGGTGAAAGTCGGTGACCTCAAGGAGAATCTTCCCCTAAAGTCACATTTACTCCTATAAAATACATGGCTCCTACTTGAAAGAAAGACAGGGCTCAGGGGGAAAAAATCATATAAGGGAAATAACAGGTTATAATAATGACCATGGTAAACGGAAGCTAGCCTCTATGAAAAGGAAGTTATAAGAACCTCTCAACAGTTTCTACCCAGAGCGATTAATTACAGGCAACTCTTGGGGCTCTGCTTGGGAAGAGGAAAAGCTACTGCACAGGGCATCCAGAGAGTAGCACATGCGGGTTCACTTGGAGGCTCTCGGGCGCGGAAGGACGGCGCGGAGGGGCGTGGCTAAAACGCCTTGCTGAACTCGCACCTGTAAATCATAGAATAAGATCCAAGACGGTGGCAGGAGGCTCTGCAGAGCTCAGGCGCCTGTGACAAAGCCATGACCCTCTCCCAGCAGGAGAACTCCTCAAAATGCACGGCTGAGGGCCACTGTTCACCGGGGAAAGAAAATGCCAGCCTCATTTTACCTGGCTTGCCAGAGTTCAACTTGCACTCCCAGACCAACTGCGATTAAGTGAGTCTTTAATCACCTCTGGACCATCTCTGGGCAGCCGGGCACAGATTGCTGAAGAGCTGTGGATAGTTACTGTGTCTATGATGGATTTTTTTTTCAAGCAAACCCTTGCCCCCTCCTAGATCTGGAAGCCCCAGAAACAGATCTGATGCACTCCACATATTCCACGGTGCCAGGTACAGTGCTCTAAGTGGGACTGGGGTGGGAGATGGGTGGAGACGGAGCAGCAGAGGATGCGGGCAGCTTTTCTTCTGACTCCAGGAGGACCTAGACCGCTATCAGCACGAGTCCAGTCATAGCCACTGAATTTGTCCTCCTTATGGGCAGCTTCAGAGCAATCATGCCTGTGTGCAGCAGAGGCTCTGGGCACAGGCACTTCATGCCACAGCAATGATGGCAGTTCCAGTCTGACAACAAGTGCTTACTGTGTGTTAAGACTGAGGTCACTTGCATGAAATACCTCAATCCTCAGAACAACCTTAAAGGGACAAAAGAGAAGGCTATGGTGCAGTTAAGAAAACAGGGTCTCACACACACAAGCAAGCGCCCCCACTTGAACTACAGGAGTCTGCTTTTAGAGAGCCCAGGAAAACTGAAAGATATGTAGCAATTACCAGAATTGTTTGTTTGCTTAGAGAAGGCAACAATAGTGAATTGTTCCAAACCACATATAACCTTAAAAAGAATCCTGCAGTTCAATGCCTACTCACAGGCTCAGTAGGGGGCGGGAAGTGGAGCTTGGGGATGGACAGGACCGGACTTTAAGGAGAAAGGAAGTTCATCTCAAGCAGCCTCCATCCCAGGTGAGACCTCTGATTATTAACCAGTATAATCAGGGCCCATTCAACCCAAACTACAGCAGAGGCAAAGTAGGGTGTGCCTTTAGGGGGATAAACAAAAGAGTATTCGCCACAGTCAACACATTAATTCAACAGAGGGTGTCCCGGAATTGTTGCTCGGTAAGGAAACTTTTCAATTTCCTGTATGGTTCCGTCCTGTTGCTCAATAAATATGACAATAAAAACGAGACTTGGCAAGCAGTCTCAAAAATATGACACCCTCACAATTCTCCCATTTTATTTACAAATTAAGTTGTCACCAAGTCACACTGTCGGCGCAGCAACTCTGAAAATTTTCACACTGGGTGTTTTTGGCTAATCATACTGGGAGTCATCAACCTTTGGAAATGCTAAACGCACCTGGATATTTCTTTGAAATGTAGAATAAAACAGTTTCCTCCCACACATCAAAGCCCCAACTATATCACATTGATTTAATTCAATTCTAAAAACTCTAATTAGTGGTTCCATAAAATGGCTAATTATGCCTCCCTGGGTTCAGACAGTTTCTGCCATCTCACTTACAGAGCCCAGGAGCTGTGTAATCAACACACCCACTGGAAGGAGAAGGCTAATTAACATTGTCGATTGGTGACACAACTTACAATATTTTTCAGTAAACCCTGTAAAAGGCATAAACATGTCAGTGAAAACACTAATTCTCACAGCTTGCTAGCTTTTGGAATTAGCCTGTAAGAACGCATGCATCCTGACCATAGCCCCTCAAAAGGGTTTTAACTAGACGCACGCGCCAAACACACAATCGTCATGATAAACAGCCCTGACATCTCCCCATGACTTCAGAAGGAGCTCACCTTCCCAGTGTGGGCATCATACCCGGTTTGGAGAAGTGAAAACTGAGATTGCCCGGCTCCAAGTCTCCCCTGCTCATCACCCAGCCGCCAAGCTGTGTGGCTCCGCCCCACTCCTGCTTCCACCGCCGACGCTTTTAAATTTTTTAAAAAGCTTCACAGGTCTCTGGACGCGTTGCTTGGGGGCAGTTCAATGGCTGCGGGATGAAATGAGGTCCTACCGGTGCTTCCCGGGCACGGCGAGGTTGCCCCGGACAGGGACTCCTCCTCGGGCTGGGACTGGCTGCACGCCTCTGCTCCGCCCCGGCGCTTTTGAAAGTAAACTCCTACCTGCCTGTTGCGCTCAGCGATGCGCAGCGGGCCGCGCCCCCCAGGCCTCCAGGGCTGCGGTTTTGTGAGTGAAATGTGAAACGTAAGCCAGCTCCGTCCCGGTACTCGAGTACCGGCCAGGTGACCCCGGGAGCTGGCTTGGACCCCGATCGCGTCCTGCCTTGCGCGGCGCATTTTGCCGCCCGCTGCCTCGGACACGCCGTCATTTGCCCGCTGCTGCCCCGGCATGCGCACCCAGGGGCGCACTCCAAAGGCCAGCCAAGGCAAAGTAACGTCCGAGGTAGCATAGGCAGCCCCGGGACTCGGAGAGAGCACGGGACAGGGATGGAAGGACCCGGGTGCCGGGAAGCGCGACCCGAAGCGGCCCGGGGGGCTCCTGGCCCGAGGCCCCGAACCCAGATCCGAGTGCTGGGGAGCAGGGACAAGCGCAGTTGGGCCTGACCTCCCGCCCAACTCAGTCCCCTGCCGCCGCGCCGCGCCCGCTTCTCCCCGG